AACTATTCGTATTTAGATAAGGGCTTACTGGAAAGTCAGGAAACCAGATTTCTTCTATTTTTAGCGCCGCAGGCGAAAATTTTGAGAATTTTGACCCCCTGGATACGCCCTTGACTTAATCTCTCAAACCGCCTTATATTCCCAGATTACACCTTATATCCCGGATGGTGGACTGCGGATTGCGTAAGCCTCGACCGTCGGCCCGACTCGAAAACGGCAACCCTATATATAATGATCAAAAATCTCATCTAATGAGTATTTTTCCGGATATTATAAAGGAAATCTTTACTTTATACTGAATGGTAATTAAACTATTTTGTAAAATAATATTAGGTACTTTATGGATATGTCACCCCCCTCCTATTTTGAGTCTCAAAGTTTTCCTTATGCGTAGAAAATGGTCAGAGATTATTTTCTTCTCCATGTCAGTCATTTTTTTTCTTCAAGTAAATAAGTGAAATGTGGAAACGAAATGAGTGAAATGTAAGTACAAAATTCAAAAATTGTAGAAAAGGCAAAATAAAAATACTTGAAGAAGAAAGAAATGACTGACATGGAGAAGAAAATAATCCCTGACCATTTTCTACGCATAAGAAAAATTCTGAGCTCAAAATAGGAGGGGGGTGACATATCCATAAAGTACCTAATATTATTTAAAATATATAAGTAATATTTAAATTATTCAACATTGAAAGGTTGCAAAAATAACTTTACTTTTTATTTGAAAAGAAGATATGTTTCTGGTCTACATATATTTCAGGATTAAAAATATTTTTTCAACGTTAATTCAAACAAATTTTTACTTTTGATTAATTTATTTTCTTCAGTATTCTTCGTTGTTTTTGGTACACTTATCGCATATAAAGTGTTCAGGTAATGTATGGCGGTACCAATTTACTGTTTTTGTTACTCCACAAGTAAAACAAATTCGATCTTGTGTAATTCGCTAAAATATTTATTAAAAATTAGCTTTGAACTTAGAAATTTATGCTTTCATCAAGAATGTTTGGTTTATGTTCTAATTATTTAGTGGTCATAATGAGTCTATAATTACATCTTTAAAATAGATTGATGTGTGTTAAGAAATTATAAGCGCACTAGATTTTTTATATTTCTCAATGTTTCTATCATTTATTTTATTTGCAATTTTTAAATCAATATTTTATGTAAACCCAATAGTTTAATAAGATTAAAAAGGACTAAGAGTGATATCTGTACAGTGAGTGATATCTGTAATGTTAACATCAAGGACTTGTGTGTGACATCGAGTGCGCAAGAAGATTTTGTTCGATTTGGAGTGATATCGTTGGATATAAGGGAATTATAGGCGATTAATGTGAAGATCAGTAGATTAAGTGAGCATCAAGAGATTTAGAGGAAGAGGAATATTGTGGATTGGGGATTAAAGGGATTTTTGCAGACTATGAATTATATCAAAGGATTTTTGGAGATTAAGAGGGATATAAAGGTATTTTTGCAACTTAGGTGGGATTTAAATTGATATTCCTCCTAATCTCCCGGTCTCAACTCTCGGTCTGATCACGCCTCGGGGTTGATTCCCTGTCTCTGTCTCGACTCTCGGCTTTTTTAACTCCCGAACAAATTTAGTGGAATTAGCGGAATTCATCAAAAATATAGTGGAATTCATCAAGGAAGAAAGGACTGACCAATATCTACTTAGTAAGGAAAAATTCGTTATGCTAAAATGACAAAAACGAGGGGACACTTGATTTAAGTTATAGTGAAAATTGTCTAGTTCCGGAAGAACGTCCAGACAAAACAACGTATATTTATAAGTATTATTAATATTTAAAGGAAATATTATTTAACTATTTTCTAATATTAATTTTAAAATTGTCAAATATACATATAAATAAAAATAACCTTATTAGATTTAAACCACAATTTTTTTGCTCTAAACTTTCCAAATTTTTGTTTATATTCTTTGCATGTTTTACACAGATAATGCTTTTTTAGGTAACTAAACCATTTTTTGGTTTGTGTAACTTCACAATTGTAACAATATCGTTTATTTCTTTCAATAATTTCACCTATAATAATTAAAAAAAATATACGTGTAATTTTAAAATCGGGGAAAATTGAAAATTTACCTATTTTATTGCAGGTGTAAAAAACATTGCTCTTTAATTCTAATGAATATTCCACTTTTTGTTTTTCCAATAATTCAATTTTATATCCAAATAAATTAATTTCCGTCCAATAACTTGATAAAAGTTTGTCGTTATAATTTTCTATATTTTCTTTTAATATTTCTTTTTTATTTATTTTTTTATTTTCTAACTTTCCTTCTAATATTGAAGTTTCATAAAAATAACTCTTCATTATAAAGGTATTATAACGGAGTGCCTTAATTTAATATAAAATATTAATTTTACACTTATTCAATGAAGGCATTTGCAATTGAATATCAAAGACACTTCGGAGTAGAGTTGGACTATGTTGTCGAACATTCGAGAATTTTTACGGAGGAATAATTTATTTCGCCATAGGCGCAAAAAAAAATTATAAAAAAATTTTTGATTTTCCGAAATTTACCTTAAAATTTTTATCTTATTCACAACATGGCGCTGCTTCCCAAAGATTTTTCACGTGGCTTCCGTTGAAAAACACCGAATATGGACTACTTATTTGATTTTTTATATAATATTTAATAACATAAGTATGTATAAACTACCCGTTTTTCAAATCCAGGCAAATATTTATGAATAATTTCATAATTTGAAATATATATAATAATCTTGTTTTTTAGCTGAACAGCATATTCTGACCATTCATTTATTTCGACATTAAAAAAATTTCTTTTTGGGTTTAATTCAACCAAACACAAAAATTTCTCTATATTATATTTAAAGCTATTATCATATCTATTATGATTTTTTTCAACTGTTTTCAATACAAAACGTTCTTTTAATTCAACATTTTTTAAATAAATAAATTCTCTTTTTTCTTTCCAATCATCTACGATTTTCACTTCAACCTTCTTTCCGTCACATTGAATATTCAATAGAGGAACCAAATATAATAAAATAATAAATATAAATTTATTCATATGAAAATTAAAAATATGAATTTACATTGTTAGACAACCTTATTAAGTAATTAACAAGTTAAACAAAAGTTTAACAGAAATTAGGTGTTAAAAACCTTTAGATTGAGCTTAAATTACTTTGAGGAATACCTATCTATGCATAGTAGAAACGAGTAAATAGAAAATTTTTTAAATAGATAATCAATATTTCAAACCAAATATTTCGATAGAACTCTTACAGACAAAAGGAGTTACAAAGGCTAAAAGCTACATAATTTTAATTGTGAATTATATTAACCGCGGTATTTGACAAAAAGTACAAATTTTAAGAGTGCAAAATGGAAAAAAATAAAATTAATTATTTGTTTACCCTGTAAATAAATAGGGAAGCATTTTGAAATATTAAATTAAATGCTCAAGGCATTAGAGCTTTTTCGAAATTTCGATTTTTGACTTGGATAAACCAAAATTTCGAACCTAATATTTCAATACAGCTAGTAAAAGCAGAGTACAAATTTTGTCAAAGTACAAATTTTACAAACAAATTAAAGTACAAGGTACAAATTTTGCCAAAGTACAAATTTAAACAAATAAAAAATTTTATTGACTTATATTAACTGCGGTAATTGACAAAAAGTGCAAATTTTAAATTTCATGAATGGCAAAAAATAAATATAAAAATTTTTATTTTAATAATTATTTAATTTGTCTCTTGGAGAATTAAGAAATTTGCATTTTTGTTAATTATACTGTTAATAAATTAGGAAAAATTTGTAGGTTGTTTTTAAATTTAGAAATTTCTGAAATCTTAAGTTAAAAATTTTTTAAAGACAATAAAATTTTAAGCTTTAATGTTGTTGAAATTTTGTTATTTATATTAATTATACATATCAGGTCATAATTAGGTCATCGGTTTGGAACCGGTTTGGTTCCGAAAATTTTCCGGTTCGGTTGGTTTAAAATATCCGAAAAATTTTGAAGAACTATAAGCTTATTCCCAATTGCAAAATTTCTTGAATATTTATCATGTTGAAATACTAAAAATTCTTAGCCACAGGGAAATAGAGTGAAATTGAATAAGGGAGAAAGACTTCCCGTCTATTTAGATAGTAAGGAAAAATATAATGTAGGAAAAAACAAGATAAAAATGGGGTGCGGATAATAATTGTACACAATTTTTATAGAATTCTAATCAGTATGTCAAAAGTTAGTAAATATTCGAATAATTTGAATAAACTTGTTTAGAATCTAATTAAATATAATAATTTAATTTTGTTGAGACACTATAAATAAAGTATTTTTTTTGACATTTTCATCATATGCTATTTAATAGGTTCTGTTTGAAATTTCGATTTTTGACATTGGCAATCAAGATTCCGATCCATGTATTTCGAAACAAGTCTTAGAGACAAAAGGGGGTACAAATCTATCCAAACTACAAAATTTTATTTACTCATTAAATTATCCAAAGTGCAAATTTAAAAATCACTCGGTGAGAAAATAAATATAAAATAACAAAAATACATTTTATAATTTAACGTCTTATTTTTAATTAATTTACTTAATCTACTTGACTTTATACGTTTAATCGAACTTAAAGTCCAATCAAAAAAAATTAATTTTCTTTGGTATCGCAAAGTTGGGGTATGGTTCCTAAATTTCTACATGTTGCGGAATAACGCCCATTGGGTCTGAGCCGTTCCTTAAACTATTTATCGAAATTTTTATATGTTATAGCAAATTTTTAAAAATTTCAGAAACACGATTTTAACTTTCAAAAATGCGAGTGTTAAGGTAAGGAACGCCGCAGACCCAGTAGGAGTGGGTTCCGACCACGATGAAATGTTTTGAACCATACCCCTACTTTTCAATACCAAGAAAAATTCAATTATTTCTTGATTAGACTCATAAAGTCAAGTAAACCGAAATATTTTTAATATTAAAATTTAAGATGAATAAATTTATAATTATTTTGTTCTCATATTTGGTTGTTCTGTTGAATATCCAAATCAAGGGTAAAATGTTTGAGGTTAAATTAAAAATAAAAGAAGATTGGGAAGAAAAAAGAGAATTTATTCATTTAAAAAATTTTGAAATAAAGGAACGTTTTGTCATAATAATGAATGTAAAAACAAAAAGTAGAATAGTTGATTATATTTATAATAATAATGGATCGTTTTGTAAGCTTGAAGTAAATCCTGTTAATAGAGTTTTTATTGCTAAACTAAATAACTGCTCTAGAATTAGCTCTCAATTAAAAATGAGAATTTTGATTGAAATTGCCAATAATGCAATTGTTAAGAAATTTTTGAACAACTTGGGAAATCAGGTATTTTATATTTGATTATTCGAAATAGAATAATAAATTTAAGGTTCGCCTAAACAATAATTTTATCAAAAATAATGATAATTATGAAACTTCTATATTAGAAGAAAGTTTAATAAATATAAATAAAAAAGGATTATTAAAAGAAAATATAGAAAATTACAAAGACAAACTTTTATTAAGTTATTGGTCTGAAATTAATTTAATTGGATATAAAATTGAATTGTTAGGAAAACAAGAATTAGAATATCCAAAAGAAAAAAGCAGAATTATTTATATTGGCAATAAAATGAGTAAATAAAATTTTATATTGTCTATCTTTTCATTTGACTAAAAATTTTCCTTAATAATTATAGGCGGAATAATTGAAGTAAATAAACGAAAGTGTTTCAATTGTAGTGTTACACAAACAAAACAGTGGCATAATGTATTAAAAGAACATTACTTGTGCGAAAAATGTGGCACATATAAACGCAAATATGGAAAGTTTAGGCCAAATGAATTATGGTTAAAGACTACAAAGGTAACTAATTCAGAATTATTATCTAATTATTATTTATTTATCTAATTCTGAACATAATGAAAGTTTGTTCAAACGTTCAGAACCGATAGAGATATAATCGAAATATTTTTTGTTTCACTAACTTTAGATAACTTCTCATTAAGTAAATGATAGTAAATATATTATTTTCGGAGTCGATATCACTCTTAACCGCCGATATCACTCTTTTTAATCAAATAGTGCCTTTTTTGACTGCAAAAAAAAGGATTTAATGATTTTTCAGCGCCGTATGCGAAAATTTTAAAAATTTTCGAAGTATAGACGCATATTCCTGGGTATATGCGTATAGACTCATATACCCAGGAAATTAGCCTTATTAAATCAACCAATAAAATTAGCACTGAATGAAACTTCACATTAAAACAAAATTCTCATTAAGTAATTTAAGGATGATCGTAAATGTTTTATTTGCGGAGTTACACAAACAATACAATGGCGCCGTCATTCAGCAACAGGAAGCTATTTATGCAATGCATGTGGCTGTAAACAAAGGAAAGAAGTTACAAAGAAGTGAAAACCAAAAATTTAACAGAAAAGGTTAAAATAATATAGAGAGTTACTCCAAATTCTGATTTATTATTCCTAATAGATTAATTGTAACAATTGTTTAATGACAATTATACGAACTTTTGTTAATTTAAACAAAAATTAATACACATAATTTCTGATAATTCTGTATTGTCTTAGTCTAGCTCTTACACGTGAAATTTAGTTGCTATTTAACATATTACCTATATTCCTTACTAGTTTTAGATTTATAAATAATGGCCCTTAATTCATAAAGATATTTTCGAGTAGGAAGAACCTGGTAAATAATGATTTATTCTTAAAAATACTACCGGCTACCCGCTCCTAGAATACGTCCCAAGAGGATTAACTGCCTACCCCTTTATTGAATTTTTCTCAAAAATAAAATTTTTATTACAGGGTGCCATAAGTAATTGCACACTTTTAATTCCTTATAACTTTTTTTGTTGTCAAAATTTTTAATTGATTTTAGGCTTATTTTTTAGCTCATTCAATTCTCTATTATGGCTAGTCAACGTGATTCTATAATCTCACTTTTTTGCAAAAAAATTCAGTCCGCAAAATTTCATCTCTTTTGATTGTGGCACGCATGTCCGGACATTTTTTTCACAAACGGAAAAATTTTTACAATAAAAATCGTACACAACCATGAAAATATTTTTTAAAGAGCTACCCATGTTTTACGTAGATTTTCGATGTCTGATTATCTCGGTTTTTCCGGTCTAGTTTTTTTATTAATTTATAATATCAATATACCTGCTTTTTACAATTGTTGTCGAAGTTTTCTAATGTTGGAAATAACATTTTAGGAAAGTGTTATCTTGTAAAAAAGTGTATATTATAAGACAAGACAAATTGAAAAATATCGAGCTAAACTTAGAAATACTAAAAAATAACTCTAAAAATTTGTGTTTAAACTTTAAATCAGTAATTTAAAAAAATTCAATAATCTAAAGATTTTATACAAAATCTATTCATAATTTCTCTTTTGAATTATTTCGAAATGTGCATCTCAAATAACTTGTTAAAACCAAAAATTTTATCTGATGTCGAACCCCTAAATATTTAAAATTAAGAAATAATAGGAATTAAAATTTATTTTATTAAAATATACGTTTATCTGATGTTGAACTGCCGGGTATTTTAGGTTCACATTTCTTTTGTACCAAACATTCAGCAGACGAACTTTAATTTTATCTTTAGGTATATGTTATAAAGTCGTTAATTTATTCGTTAATTTATTCAAAAATTACGTAGGATAAAAAAGGAATAAGGGGATTATGGCATTTAAAGGGATTAAGACTGATTTCTATCGATATCAATGATTTAGAGGGTAATTTAAATAATATTCAAAAGATTACAAAAAAAAATAACAAACTAAAGGCAATTAATCAAAACTAAAATATGAATATAAATAATAAACAATAACGCCTAATTTTTAAACAAATATTATTCAGTATACAAATTATTATTAATGTATTATGTATATTAATCAGTATTATTATTAAATGTAAAAATTTTTTAAATTTCTTCAGAAATTCGTATTATAGTGGCTAGTACTTCTACATTAACACAAAATTCGATCAACGCTGGTTCAATCAACAATATACTAAATCAACGAGTCGTGCTCTCTCAGAGAGAACGACGATGTCCCACTCTATAAATTTTAATTAAATCAACTCAATTTTTTTCTTTTTATAGAACTTACACAAATCAAGGTGAAAATCAAATTTATTCATCAAATTAATGTTCATAAATCAATAAAATTGTATATGATCATAAAGAAGATGTGAGATGTCACATCGACAGATTTTATAATTAACATAAAGTATTCTTTAAATAATTCAATAAAAAATTAAATATTTTTTCAAATGAATGCGGAATATAATAAATTCATGAAAAACAAGTAAAAAATTTATTTTTTCTAAAATTATTTTTTAAATATAATCATCATCAAGCAAATTATACTTTATCATAGATGTTTATTAAAACAAATTCAAATTTATGTATTATTTTTCTATTGTTTATTTTATTAAATTTATATATATATTAAAATGATATATTAAATGATCAATATTTAACTAATTTAGATAACGAACTAATTTAAAGCTTCCGAAATTTTTTATTTAAAAGATTCATATATAAGTTTAAAAATAATTAAAATAACAAAAAATATATAAAAAAAATACAAAATACATATGTATACAACGGATTTTTTTCCTTTTATAGACAGATGTTGATTTAAAATAAAAAAAAACAGGAGGGATATTTTCAAAAATAGTAAAAATGGATGATCAATCAGAGATTAATGCGCACACAAAAAATGTGAGGGTTGTACCGGATTTAAAAAACAAGACAAAGAAAATTTAGCAGCATTTTTCAATTTAAGTAGTAATAATAATTAGATTAAAAAACTAATAAACTAAACCAGAGCCTTAATTTTTAACTTATTAATTAGTTATTAAATAAAGTCATCAATTTTCATTATATTGAGTAGTTTGTACTTCAATAGGTGGAAAGAAATGCAAGAAAGAAAGAAGAATTTTTAATTTTTTAAATTTATTTATGGCACATTAATATTTTGCTATGCGCAAATTTATTTAATTCTTCAAATGTTAAAAATATAATTAAATATTGCAATATAATTTAGAAAAAATTATTAAACTTTTGTTTAAAAATAGTGTTTTATTGGGTCAAGCTGAACACAATAGACTATGAATTAAACTACTATTTCAATCCTATTTTAATGCAAAAAAATAACAATTTTTATAACTACATACATATATTATATTTATTAATAAATATGTAATTGAAAGGTTATAAAGATAAATTATTGGGAAAATGTTCATTGGTGTATGGTTTTGATGTTAAGTTAATTGGAAAGCATCATCACTAAGATAATGTATAATTTTCTTAAAGACTAGATTATAAAGTTAATTATATGATTATATAGCATAATATTTAATCAATTAAATGCTTAATCTATTAAATGAATAAATTAAAAAATACTAATTCTAATAGTATGTTTATTTGCTAAAAACGAAAATATACTCGGTAAAGGCACGCTTATTTCGAATAATAAGAAATTGATAATGTTCTGAATAATAGCTTAAAGAAAAAGAATTTATAACAAATATTTTAACTTGAATAATCTAATGAGCCTATTATATTTTTTAAATACGATTACAGAATTCAAATGATATATTCTAAAACAGTAATGATAATATCTAATACAATATATTTTTTAATATTTCACTTTAAATACAATTGTGAACGTATTATAAAATATTTATTTAAATCTATTAAAATTTGTCACTTTAATGAAACGTAAATTTTTAGCATAAATTAATCTAATTTAAAGATAATATAGATCAAATGGAAAAATACATCAAGATATCCACTCCCGCTCAATCTCAGTGTCCCGCTCAATCTCAGTTTAACTTATTAATTAGTTATTAAATAAAGACATCAATTTTCATTATATTGATTAGTTTGTACTTCAATAGGTGGAAAGAAATGCAAGAAAGAAAGAATCTCAGCCACTCCCGCTCAATCTAAGTGGAAATGTTCTTTTTTATACGGCGTTCTAAAGGTGAAGAGAAGAACGCGTAAATATATCCTGTAAAATATATGTTTGTTTTCATTAAAAAATTTCATAATAAATTTATTTCTGTATAAATATAAAAATGTCGTCATAAATAATAGAAATGCGAAAATACATATGTTATAACATTTCGTCATTTAATTTTTAAAGATTTTTAATAAAAAAATTCGATTGTAAAGAAGTTACATGATTGTTACATGATTGTTAGACTTTAATAACATGTTCCATGCGGAAAGACAAAAGATCTATGTTTTTGTATTGTTAAATTGCTTATATTTCTAAATACTAAAAAGAAATTAATTTTATTGTTATAATATTTCCTATTGTGGAGTTTATCTGATAATGGAGTTTATCTGATAACAAGTCAAAAATTTGAATTTTTAAAATTAATTTTTTAAATTTAATATTAAAATTTGTTGTTTTTTGTATTCAACCGTTTACTATGTATAAGAACTATGGCAATTGTTGTGAACTTAAAATGCGAATGAAATTACATTGTTTAATAAATTATATAAATTTTATTGTTTATAAATAAGTAACTCATTCTTTCTAAAATAATTATATTGATAATTACTAGTTTGAAAAAGATTTTAATGAAATAAATATA